CGTGGCCTGAGAGGCGCTGACGATGGGGTCTTCCTGGGGCCCAGCCTCACCCCACCCTCCGAACACCGGCTCTGGGCCGTGGCGTGGCCAGGCCTCTGCCACCGTGGGACCCACGCCGGGGCCTGAGCTGGCCCTCCAAAGACTCGACTTTGCCCCAGACGGTGCACGGGAGGGCTGTTCGCACAGGTCTGCTGGGAGCCTCGCTGTTGTTGGACGAGCCCTTTGGGAATTGTGTGTGTGTGTGTGTTTAAAGTTTTTTTTTGAGAGAGAGACAGAGCATGAGCCGGGGAGGAACAGAGAGAGAGGGACAGAATCCGAAACAGGCTCCAGGCTCCGAGCGGTCAGCACAGAGCCCGACGGGGGGCTCGAACTCACGAACCGCGAGATCATGACCTGAGCCGAAGTCAGACGCTTAACCGACTGAGCCACCCAGGAATTGTTTTCATTGAACATACGGGTCCTTGGAGCCATTCTAGCTCGTGTGGCCACCCCATGGCGTGTAAATAATGTTAGCTCTCAGCCCACTGCCACCCCCTCCTCCCAAGATGCACCCCCAAGACCCCAGGGGCAGTGAGGGGGTTGGGGTCACCCCAGGGGAGAAGACAGTGCTGCCAGGGGCCAGCATCTTCCTGCCTCCGTGTTGGATCCTTGCCCTTTGGCGAGAGGTCGAGCGCTTCAAGCCCACGGGTATGGTCATCTAAGCCGCGTAACAAGCCATCCCGGAGTTTAAAGCAACGACAATCACTCTATCGTCTCCCTGGTCTCTGGGGGTTGGAACACGGGGCGGCCTGGGTGGGTCTGGTGTGCGCCACGGCTGGGGCTGGGCCGGCAGGGCCGGGAGCCGCCGCGCTCCGGTGACCATCTCTGTATCCTCACGCAGACCCAGCTCCTCCACGCCGTCAGGAGCACGTGGCAGGGTGGCCTGGGGACCCCCTGCTCCCACAGCGGCTCAGGACCCGGAGGTGAGTGTCCCAAGAGACTCTGCAGAAGCTGGGTGGCCTCGTCCAACCCACACTCATCGAAGAGCAAAGAGCAAGCCCGATGTCACTGGTCACCAGGGAAATGCTCACCGGAACCTACTGTCACAAAACAGCACACAACAGAAGTTGGTGAGGATGTGGAGAAACCGGGACCCAATACCCTCCTGCTGTGAAACCAGTGTAGGGTTTCCTCGGAACCTTGGGGTCGGGTGACCACGTGCGCCCGCAGTTCCCCAGAGAGGAAGCGGGCCTTCAAACCAATGCTTGTACGCGAGCGTGCCCGCGGCACCGGTCAGACGCCAACGGTGGACGCAACCCGGATGCCCGCCAACGGATGAAGCGGTGAACAGCTGTGGTCCGTGCACGCAGCGGGACACTGCGCGGCCCCAGCAGGGAGTGAGCCCTGACACCTGCTGCACACGGATGAGCTTTGGCAAGAAGCCAGACGCAAACGGACAAACACCGTGTGATTCCGCGTGGATGGGCAATCCGGCATCGGTGAGTCCGTGCGGACAAAGCGGATCGGCGGAGGCCGGGGCGGGGCGTGAGGGCGAATGGCTGTGGGGTTTGCTTTCAGGGCTGACAGGATCTCTGGGAGACCAATAGGGGTGATGGTGGCACAACGTTGAATGAACTCACTGCCTCTGAATTGCACACTTCAGTCATTTTTTTTAAGTTTATTTATTTTGAGAGAGGGAGAGTGCTTGCGAGCAGCGGCGAGCAGGGGAGGGGCAGAGAGAGGGGAGTGGGACAGAATCCTGAGCGGGCTCCGCGCCAGGCGGGGCTCCAGCTCCCAAACCGTGAGACCACGGTCTGAGCCAAAACCAAGAGTCAGATGCTGCACTTGACCGAGCCCCCCGGGGGCCCCTGAATTTTCAGCACACGTTAAAATGGTTGATTTCGTGCCGTGTGAATTTCGCCTCAACGAGAAGACGAAAGTCATAAGTAGATAAACTTTAAAATAAAATTTCAGGGGCTCCTGGGTGGCTCAGTCGGCCGACCGTCCAGCCCTGGGTTCCGGCTCAGGTCACGATCCCAGGGTCGTGGAACTGAGCCCCACATCAGGCTCCGCGCCGAGTGTGGGGTCCGCTTGAGATTCTCTGTCTCCCCGCCCGCCCCCCGCCCCTCTCCTGCTCACTCGCTCTCTCAAAAAAATAAAACCAAAATAAGTAAAAATTTCATAAACACCGCAGAGCGTCGCTTCTGCCTGCGGGGTCCCAGACCCTGCCACGTTCTGGAAGCAAACGCCTTGCTGCATATCTGGTATTTAATCTACTTCCCAAGGGTCGGTCGTGTCCAGTAATACTAGAAATTAATCACAGCTTCTCAGAAACCCAGCAAGGGTTCTCCGTGGTCGAAACAAAAGGGATCCGTCCCGAATGACAGGTCAACACCGTGACTCTGGGGACACATGGGGCAGTGGACCCTCTGCAGCCGGCGGAGGAGGAGACGTGCCCGCGCTGGGTCGTCGCGCTCCCCCGGGCAGAGGGCGGGTGGGGCCGCAGCGTGGGTTCCGGGGTCTGTGAGGAAGGGGAGCTGCCCCATCGTGGTCAGCGTGGCCGGGGCGGAGGTCGCGGGGACCTCACACAGACACAACACGGTGAACGAGCGTCATCGGGGCGTCTGTGCAGCTCTCAGCAACGAGGCGACCTGCGAGACGAGCCAGCTCCAAGGAGAAGCCCAAGCGCAGGCCTAGCAGGCAGCCCGAAGGGAACCCCCAGACCCGCGCAAAGCCGGCCCCTCCCCCCCGCAGGCCAAGTTCACCGGCACGTGCGGGGGACGGGAGCCTTCCGTGAGGCGCTCAGCCAGGCGCGCGGCCGAGGGTCGCAAAGGGCCGGGGAGAGAGGTCGCCAGGCCGGGCACTGGCCGGCCACCAGCCACAGGCCAGACCCACCGCCTGACTCGATGGATGGCCTTTCGGGCACGGGTGAGCTCATCTTCCAGTGACCACTGCAACGGGGCCGCGAGCCACAGCAGCCACTCTGGCCCTCCGTGCGGCCGGGGCACCTGTCACGGTCCGCCGTGCGGATGGGGCGGCTGAAGCTGGGGGGCCGTGCGCGTCCCAGGCTGGCGGGCGCCCAGGCCGCAGCCCCCGCCACCCCGCTGCCGGCCACCTCCTCGCCTAGAGGCGGGGGGTTTGTGGTGGGGACGTGTGCCACGCTCGTCACCCTCACCGAGCTCTCAGGAAGCAAGCCGGCTGACACCTAGTCGCCGAGAAGTTGCTCGGTGCCCGTCCAGTGCTCGAGCGTGGCGCTTATCGGCAGGACGTGCGGCCCGCATCTCGTCACACGGGCGCCACGACTTCAGCGTCTCCCCGCCCAACCCCACTCGCCTCCTGGAGGGGACAGGGCACGAGAGACTAAGACAGAGAGACAGGGAGACTCCACTGAGAGCGCTGGCCAGGCGTGGGCCGCGAGGACCTGACGGAAGGACACTGCGGGGCACACAGTAGGTGCCCTGTCAACACCTGGCCAACACGTTGGCCTCCCTGACGGTCCAACGGGGCCTTCAGCCACGAGATGCTCACGGGCGGGAGGGCCCTGCATCTGCGGCCCACTGACCAGGAGGGCGGCCCCGCGGGCGGTGCGGCGACAACTCCACGAGCAGCTCCCCACGGGCCTCGCCCCTGCGTTTCTGCAGAGATGTGCATTCATTTTAAGCTCCCGTCCTGAACCGGGCAGAGTGGGGTCTCCGTGGGCCAGGGAGGGACGTATGGGCCGGGGAGTGGGACGTAGCATCTGACCCCGGGGGGGTGGCTGACCAGCCAGGTTGGGGTGCGGCAGGCCCCTGCTCCCCCAAGGGGAGGGATGCAGTGGGGGGCAGGCCGTCCGAGGGGGCCGACCCTGGAGTCAGGGTCACACACCCTGTGGCACTCAGGACCCCCCCGAGTGGCCCCTGCACTGCCTGTCCTGCCCGACCCCCAGCAGCCCCACCATACTGCCCTGAGGACGTCCAGGAGACCGCTGGTCCTCCCCTGCCCTGCTGCCCCCAGGGCCTGGACGTTGGTTTGGACGCTCCATCCATGGCCCCTCCTCTGACATTTCCTACCCTGGAGGTGTCCCTTGCCCTGCTCTGCCTGATCACCTCATGAGCCCCCATTGTGGGGGTCTTGCCCCCTTAATGCTCTGTGAGGAAGCCAGTGCAGGACCCCTCTCGGGGACCTCCCAAAGTCATACACACCCATTTCCCCAGGACAACCCCTTCTGACACCCACGGCCAGCCCGGGGTCCCCGAGACAACCTCAGGTTGGACAACCCCCTAGGAGGACCGCCAAACTCCCCGAGAGCAGCTCTTCTCGCCATCAGGGTTCACTGCAGGGAAAGGACACAGGGTAACACCACCCAGGGGAAGACCCAGGGGGCCCCCAAACACGCACCTGCGGGGTCCTCCACTGGGGCCTTGGACAGACTCAGCTCCCCAGCCCTGACGTGTGACAGTGCACACGGGTCACTGCCAACCGGGGGGCTCCCGCCTTGGTGTCCCGTCTTTACGGGGGGCTGCGGAGCCAGGTGGCTACTGGCCCCTCCAGGGGTAGAGGGGATGCCGAGCGGCCCAAAGCCCGCCATGACCTGCACGTGGACCCCCGATGGACAGGGCGCTCGGGGCCCGAGTCCCTCCCGGAAGCCGGGCAAAGGCCAGCCCTCACTCTAGCCCAGGTTAAACGCTCCATCAGACCCCGTGCCACCAGGAGGCACGGCAGACAGGGCAGCGGCATGGACCTCCTCCCTACACAGAGCCACAGCCCAGGGGCCCCGGCCCGATGCCTCGTGTCCACCGAGGCTTTGGTTTCCTGCCCGAGGACCAGGGCTGACCCAGCTTGGAGTGGCCGCCCATCCTCAAGGGGGGTGGGGGGCATGGCAGAGACCCCACCACGCAGGACTCCTGGGGGTGCTGTCGGGGGCTGGTCTCTCAGATGCCGTCTTTCCACGGATGTAATTACGAAGCAGGTGATGGAAAGAAAGTTCTGGAACTGGATCCAGATGATGGTCACACAGCATAAATGCACCAAGTGCCACTGAATCACACACTTTAAAATGATTCATTTATATCAGGTGGGTTTCTTCTCAATCTTCAGTGTAAGTACATCCTAAATATTGCATAGAACACACTTCTACTAAAAAGGTACTTAGTGTGTATTTCAAATTCCCCCCAAAATTGGTTTTTAAAAACTTTTGACTCAAGCTAGGGTGTGATGTCCCCAGCTGCAAACAAACTCGTGCAGACCCAGCCGGGTGGCCTCCTGGGGCGAGGGTGGCTGCCGTGGACTTGTGGCAGGTGAATGCGTGGGCACCACAGGGAGCACAGCAAGGGAGGACCGCTGAGTGGCAGGGGAGCTCACAGCAGAGAGGAGGGTCAACATCGGGTGGGGACCTGGGGTGGCAGTGCTGGCACCTGAGGGCATGAACGGTGGAGAGAGAACGAGAGAGAGAGAGAGAGAGAGAGAGAGGGAGAGAGGCACCAAGGCCGAGAGGTTCGCAGGGAAGAGCCCGAGTGTCACTGGAACTCGTTAATTAGCTTTGCCTTGCGTTTGTAATTTAAAAATGATAAACAAAACCAGAACTGCATCTTAATTGGGAAAAAGGCAGTCGGTTCACAGGAGAGGAAATAACCGCTCTGCTGTCCCGGTGCAGCCTGGAGCCGCTCGCTCCCCCCTGCCGCCCACGGGGCTCCAGGGACCTGCCCCCCGCCCCCCCCCGTCCCCGTCACAGTCAGTTCCCCCCAAGGCACCACACAGAGTTCTCTGTGTGTAGGGAACCCACAGCGCCTCAGGCCTGGCTCCCCAGGAAGACCGGTTCTGAGAGATCAGCTGGAGGAAACACACAGGCGCCAGCCGCCGTCCCGGGTGCTGGGACACTCGCGGACAAGGGGACGAGGCACACGGCTCTGCCATCGCGGAGCCGACGGCACTCGGACCACTGAAGTGCACGACGCCGGCCGTCAGCGCCTCAGGGAGTCAGGGCGGGACATGGAGGCCGCGGGGCCGCGGGCTGGGAGCTGCCGGGGAGAAGGGCCCTCAGCGCAGGGGGCGCCGCCTGCAGACCTCCGGTCACCGTGCCCCCCCCGCCCCGGCTTGGGAGCCCCTGCAAACGCAGACCCCGGGCCCCAGGGGTCTTGTACTCAGATCCCAGACGGTTCTCGAGCCCCTGAAAGCCCGGCCCTGACGGCCATCAGGTGCTGAGGTCCCAGGGGCGCCTCCCTGCCGGTCTTCTCCATCTGTCCCCGCCCTGCGTCCCCTCAGCCACCTGCCCCCGGGGCCATGGGGCCCAGAGGTCGAGAAACACCACAAAGCGCAGCTGCCGAGGCGCGGGGGTGAGGGGGTGTCGCGGGCGGGACGTGCAGGGGTGAGCCCCGGACCCGCTGGAAGGAGGAAGGCTACCGACAGCACACGATGCTGCAACAATCGAGAAAACCTGCTTGATAAGAGTCCTGTAGTTTTACTTTAAAAAGCAGGATGGCATCTCTCTCAATCAGCGTGAGGCCTCAGTCCTTCCAGGGCTGCCCCCCGGTGTCCCCATGCCGGGGCTCAGCTGGGGCCAGGACGGCCTCGGACGCGCCAAACTCTGCCGGAAGCAGGCGGCTCAGGACCCCCGGGCCCTTCTACCACAGATGTGTATGCACCCCTCCTCTGTGCTGGGTAAGTCCCGGGCCCCAGGGGCCAGACGAGGACCAGGTCGTGACGAACTTCCCTCGGTCTCTGGGAAGGGTGGCAGGGACCGTCCATGGGGCACTGATGGCAGCGGGGCCGTGAACAGGCAGCACCCCACGTGCATGCCCGGAGCTGTTACCGACAGACAGGATGCCGGGCAGAGGCTTCCCTGAGGCCTCCCTCGGCTTGGGGTCCGCAGGCAGGAGCAGAGAGCAAAGCTGCAGAGAAGGCAGCGCAAAGGCCCGGGGGCAGAAGCGGACTTGAGATGGGGCCAGGACGGTACCACTAGGGGGCGGGGCGCTAGCATCCCTAAAACCACACAGGTGTACGTAGAAGCAGCACCCCTTCACCCCTCACCCAGCGTCCCCACCAGGCACACAAGGGTCCTGGGCCACTGGGGCAGCTCCCTAGAGACCCAAGCGGCCAAACCACTGCCTGCTGTGACTCCAGGTGCTCCTGTGGGGGCGGGGAGGGGGGCTCAGGCAAGAGGCTGCAGAACCAGGGACGCCCCCTCCCTGGCTCTGCACCCACACCCGCATCTCCGCCAGGCCCCCAAACCCACGGGAGTGGCTATCACTCACGTGACTCTCTCCCTAAGCAAGACGGTTTTTAAGAGGAAGCCGGACTCACGCCGGAGGAGAACCAAGCTCGCCCGGCAGAAACAGGGCCTTGAAGAAAGAACCCGGAAACACAGCAAACGACCGGCCTGCAGCTGCCAGCACCCACACCACTCGGGGCCGCGACGGTTCAGGTGACTCCACCCGTAACTGCCCCTCGTGGGGCAGACACGCCCACCGTGCACCTGGGACCACGGGTACCATGGGACAAAGAAGTAGGTCCTCCTCAGCTTGACTGGGAACAGGTGGCTTGTGCTCCGTGCTGCCCACGACTAACCAGGACAGAGAACCCTCACTGTCGCTCCCAGGTCACAGTCCAGCTGCAGCAGGGAGGGGGTGTGGCCCAGAAGCTTGGACGTAAGGGGCCCGGGGGTCACACAGGGCTGGCAGAAGCCACCACCCAGTGCACCCAGAGCCCCGTGTGGCCGCAGCCCCCGACCCCCACCCTGGCCCCACGCCCACCTGGGCTCCGGCTAAGGGAGAGACTTCCAGAGAAGGGAAGAGGCAGGGGGCAGGCGTGGGGGGCCGCGGGTGGACACGAGGCGCCCTCCGTGCACGGCCGGCACTGTGACCACCAGCCTGCAGACCCGGCCGCCGGAGCAGTCAGAAGACAGGCCAGCGCTCCCCGGACTCCGCCCCGCCACCCACAGCCCACCCCCATCTCTCTCTTACAAAACCACAGGTGGGGGCGGGGAGCGGGCGCTCAGGGTCAGCTGAGCGTGAAGTGCTGGGCGCAGAGATCATCCTGCCGGCCCAGCAGCCCCTGCGCCGGGAGGAACTCCAGGGGCACCGACTCCTGGCCCCTCTTCTTCTTCAGGTCCCGCTCGAACACCTGCAAGGGACGGACAGGTGTTCCCACGCCGCACGTCCCCTGCACCCCAGCCGCCCAGGCCTCAGCCCCGCGCCCTCACCTCGAACGCCGTGAGCTCCAGCAGGGGTGCGATGCTGGTCTCAGGCACCGACAGCACCTGGTTGATGACGCTGGCGGCCTGCGACACCTCGGGGTGGTAATGCCGCTGGAGGGTCTGGAGAGGCACATGGGCCGTCATCACCCTCTCCCCGGGGCAGCCCGGGGACCCGGACGGCACCACACGGTGGGAACACGTCCGGTCACGGCAGCCCCCGGGGGAGCCGGGGACGGGGGCGGGGGGGGGGGGGACGCACAGCTCACCTGCAGCTCCCACAGCGAGCTCTCCAGGGCGCGGCTCTTGGCCGGGTCCTCCTCTGCAGGATCGTAAGGGTCGGCATCCAGCTCTAGAGCGAGACCCGGGCCCTGCTTCACAGCCTGCTCCTGAGCTCTGGCTGCTGGGGGCAGGCCCCCCACCCTCCTGGTTCCCCATCACTCCCCTGCCAGGTCTCTGAGCCCTCTCAGGTCCCCCCAACTCCCCGCCCAGGTCCCCATGCCCCCCAGGCTCCCCCCCAACTCCC